CCACCCCCGTCCCAGCTTACCACCCTGTTCTCACGAGTGTTCTGCATTTAGCTGTACGAGATGAAGTCTCCTGGGCTTGGCTGTCCAGCATGTTCAGTAGAAGCGCCTCTCCTGCCTCACACATTTCACCAGCCCTTTGTACTTACAGTAAAAGGCGGGTTCCTCCTCGTGGCTGGCAGATCCTGACTCATCTCTTGCAACTTCATGTCTTGATCCTTTCCATCCACTCTGGCAGTTATTTGCCTTGACAGTGGCTGGTGAACACTTACTTACCTTTTCCAGGAAGCTCTTAGAATTCATGCCTGGAAAATACTCTCTGAACTTAATAGCACAATGAAATCATCATCGTAATAATACTTGGTGCCACTTACTGAGATTTTCTGTAGGCCAAATACTGTTCTAAGTGCTCTCCAGATGCACTGTATCATGAACTTTAAAGCAATAAGCTTATAAAGTTGCCATTCTGGCCTTCTGTTTTTGGATAGGAAATGTGGCCATAGAGAAGTGGGGTGTCCTGGATTCATGTTGTTAGTGTGTTGTAGAGCCTGGCTTGAAGTCAAGATTCTAGGCCTGTTCTCTGGTACTGAAGTTTCAGAAGTATTTTGTTACCATTGACTTGCAGTGATTTCCCGGTGGACGCTCTCAGAACACACTGCAAAGTGAACCTGAAACTCCAAGTAAACATCAACATGACCTCATTACCTTCCGAACAAGAAACTTCTCTCAGATTTTCTAGCTTATTGATAATATAAGGCATTATTATCAAACTTACAAATGAACTCTGATATCACACAAGGTTCATCTCAGCCATTCATACAGGCCCCATTGGCACGTGGGAGGTAATGTCCTGGGCATTTGAGATACCCCCATGGCAGTCTAGTGGGACAATTTTTAACTTTGGTTTTCCGCACCGTTTTTTGCCTTGGAGGCTCACTGTAGTATTGTTATTCTGGCACTGAATTCAGAATAAGTGTGAGCTGTCCTGGACCCCTCTTGAAGACAGTGTTATGATGTGTCTCCTGAGGACAGTCTTATAGATAGGCTCTGGAGTAGTCTGCCTCTCTCTTTCCTTTCTCTTTTTCTTCCAATTAAAGTGAAACATTAAATTTTTACTACATATAATAAACTCAGGGACTTAGTATTTCAATACAGGTTGTAAAATAGGTGAATTCCATGGTGGACATATTTTGTGGGGAAGCACAGAGAATGAGAACATACTGTAGTATCGAACAGGTGGCCATTGAGATGAGTCTCACTGAGATCAAGGTTTGAAGGAAGCTGGACCTGGTGGTGTGCCCTTGTAATCCCAGGGTCGGGGAGGCAGAGACAGGAGAACCTTTGGGGCTCGGTGGTCAGCCGGGTTTGTCTCTCTGGTGTGCTCCAGGCCAGTGAGAAACCCCATCTTTTAAAGGTAGGTGGTGCCTGAGGAATGACACCCACAAATATCACTTGGCCTCTACTCACATGCACACATCAAGGTGCATGCATCAAGGACTTGTATCAGGACAGAAATGAACATCCTCCCCTGGCCCAAAGACTTGAAGTGCGAGAGTTAACCGGATGAGGGAAGAGCAGTAGCCAGTACCTAGGCCTGAGCCACGCTTTTCCAATTAAAAGCAAAAAGAGTAATTGTGGATGGAAGGGTCCAAGAGAGTCAAAGACTAGGTGGGGTCTGAGAGCTTGGAGGATTTTGCTGGGGACAGTGGGAGTGAACTGACATTCTATAAAGCACTCAGCAGAATCCAGTCCGGAGTCACAGAGGCCCTCCTACCTCTCCAGGCACATCGCCCGCTGTCTCCCTTGGAAACGCTTCTAGATATTTGCTCCAGAATGCCCTCTGAAGAGTCCCCAGGTGTCTATGGTGTCTTGAGTCTGTCCCAATCTGCTTTCTGTTGCTGGGACAAAATACGTGGGGAGAGTAGTTGAAAGAGAAGGTTTTGTTTTGGTTCACGGTTTTGGAAGTTTCAGTCTGTGGTCATTTGGCTCTATTACTTGTGGCCTGTGGTAAAATGGAGCATTGTGGGAAGGAACACATGGCTGAGCCAAGCTGCTCATCTCCGGGTATCAGGGTGTGGGGACATGGAGATTGAGAGAGGTTGGTGACCAGATGTATCCATTTGCTGTTCTCCCCCCACCCAGTGAATGACCCAATTCTTTCAGGTAGGCCCCACTCTTCCATCTCCTAATGGCTTAGCAATAGATCAATGGATTAGTGAAGTCCAAGCCCTCATGAATGACCTCTGCCTCTAAACACAGACACATTGGTGACCAAGCCTTTACCATGTGAGCCTTTCAGGGGCACTTCAGATCCAAACCTTTGTATACCCCAACTATGCTTTTTGTTGTTGTTGCATGGAGGCCTTCCATGGAGGCTGCCTCAGGGAGTCCTTCCTTGACTCCCACTTAGGCTGGCTGAAATATTCTTTCCTGTCTGAGCTACCACACACAGTTCTTTGTGTATGTGTTTGCCGTAATAACTAACGTCTAACAGCGTCTGTTGTTTATCACACTAGCCTGTCCATTCTATCCTGCTGACGTCCCCTTTGTACAAAGGAATATGCAGATGTTAATAACTTGCCTAAGTTCATCAGTTACTTGTACTGAAGCTAGGAATTACACATGGGTCTGGCTCCAGAGGCCATTTGCTCCAGAGGTTAGACCCGCACCTCTAACATTCTCACCTTATATAAGCTGTGCGGAAGTCACACCCATTGCAGATGTTAGTTTGTGTGCGTGCGCCTTTCATCCTGTCTACGGATGCTTTTGTTAAATTCATTAAATTTGTTCTTTGACAATTTCATTGATGAATTTTGATTATCCTCACCCCAACCTTCTTTTATCTCCTTCTCTACCCTGCCCCCACCCCTGTCTCTTTCTCACATTCATGTCTTTTTGTTTTGTTTGGTGGCCCACTGAGTTTAACTGGGGCTGTCTGTGTGGCCTTGGGTTTGGGACTGTCCAGGGGAGCCTGGTGGATTCGCCAGTGGGTACGCAGCTGAAGACAGTGACTCTCTGTCTCCCACAGTCGATCAGTGGCCGATTCCACCTGCAAATTCTTTGGGAACCATGCAAAATTCACTTTTACTTTCTGGTGCTTTATGTGCATTCTCTTGATTGGCCTGTGATGTGAATGAAACATTTGCTCCTGGCATTTGTAAGATGTGCGTCACGGTGTTGGGAATTCCGGGTTCTGAATGGGATTTGGTTCTGGGTTGGGTTTTCACACTGTCATTGTGCTCTGTTCTGTCCCCAGACCAGCATTAAAGAGGGACAGCTGCTGAAGCAAACCAGCTCCTTCCAAAGGTGGAAAAAGAGATACTTCAAACTTCGAGGCCGGACACTTTATTACGCAAAAGACTCAAAGGTAACTAACTCCACGGGACGGACCCCAAGCACTGTGTGTCATGACTAGATCTAAACCTAGATCCAAGCTGCACATGTCTTGGATCCTCGTTATAGCTTAGCTGCCCTCATAGGGATTTATTATAAGTGTGGTCATCTTGCACTCCACCTCAAGGGGGAGCTATCGAGGCATAGGGGCAGCTAGCCTAATAGGTTTTGATTTTTTCTTCTAATTAAAATAAGTTATAAATAACTTAGAATGAATTCAAAACTTTGGGTTTCCTCCTTTTTTTTCCCTTTTAAATCTTCTTCTGACTATAAGAAAGTGAGAGGTTGTAGCTGTTAGAAATGTACATTCTGTGGGCAGATGTAAGTTCATAGCCCAACGCATGCACAGTCCACAATGTGCCTGTGGCTATCATGTGCTACCGAGAGAAGTCTGAAGACAATGTACATGCTGAGTGCTTTCACAGTCCTGGGCACAAATAATCTCTTCATTATGGTAGCAATTAAGAGTTAAAAAAAATCACATTGTAATAAAATTGAGACTTAAAGTAATTTTTATGTAACAGTTGCATGAGATAATAATGTCGTTTGGGAAGAAGATTCCCTATTAAAACTGATATTTTAATGTTGCCTGAAAAGAAATCATTAGGATGCCAGAGGAATAATCATTTCCATTTTTAAAAATGCATGTTCCTGATATAATCAGTAGAGTCATTAGTAGAAGCTGAGAATGCAACCAGTCAGCAAACCTAATTCTTGGTTTGTGGAACAGCAGTCGAACTGAATAACTGAATGCTCAGGTTAAAGTAATAACAAAATCCAGTAATCTTATTTTAAAAGCCTAATGTTGACTGTTGTCCCTGCTGCGGCTCCATGGTGTCTTTGCACATTCCTCTGTAGAAACATCGACCTCTTGGTTACCTGTGACTGTGGCAGTGTACCCTGTGAAGGTGCCCCTCGAATAGTCCCATATATGAGATGACGAATTTGTTTTCTGCTGAGAAAACTGTTGGTGACTTTGCATAGCCTTTCCCTGGGACTCCAGTCCTCTTTGCAGTGAACATTGTCTGTTTCATGTACTGGCCACATTGTACACCCCTTCCAGTTTGGGAGCAAGCCTAGTTGAATTAAAGTAAACTAATAACGATACAGTAAACTTAATGTAACCCCCTTAGTATAACTCCCTGTTTGGGAGAGTGGAAGCTATCAGGAAGGCGAGACATGTTTCTCTGCAGCTGTGGAGGTGAACTCCACTTGTGTGGGAAGTTCACTGACTTGAAAGCTGAGCAGTGACCAACTCACTAAAAATGGGAAAGATGCATGCATGTGCTCATACTTCCTAATGCCTAATTTGTCCTTTGAAAGAAGTCCCATTTTTTCCTGCTGCAGCTTTCACCAGTTTTTGATTAAAATAATGTTTAAGAGCATGAGAGAAACACGGTCTTCTGTTTGCAGAATACGGTCACCATCTTATTTGGACACTTTTTGATAGACAAGGACAAGGTCCAAAGCATTCAAAGGTCCAGATCACCGTGATCTGAGCCAGGGCTAGTTCTCGGTCTCCACTCAACAAACCTGTGGGCAACAATGCCTTCGACTGCCCACCGAGTTGCCTCAGGCTTTAGGGTATGAGAGGGTGAGTGTGTGTGTTGGTTCTTCAGTTGGTTCTTCTAACCATAGCAGACAGGCTTCCAGAAGACAGCGGTCAGTTGTGTAGGGTGGCCATGTTGAATGGACTCATTCTTCCTGAGGCAGACTTGTGTAGCATCCCTAAGTTGGAGTTCATTTTTGATTCCTAATTCTTGACATCATTTTCGTCGTCGTGGGCTGAGAGTGAAAAGGTACTGAAGAGCTGGCTTTCTACATAATGCGTTTGTGTTCTTGTTTATCAACAGTCCTTGATATTTGATGAAGTTGACCTCTCAGATGCCAGCGTCGCTGAAGCAAGTACCAAAAATGTCAACAACAGCTTTACGGTATGGTTATGTTCTCTGTCCCAGGGCTGTGGGGTGGCAGTTCTTAAGCATGTGCAGGTGCTTAGTTCAGTCCTTACTGACACAATGAACTCTAATCAATATGTTTTACATTCCAACAACAAATATATGATCAGTTATTGGCTCAGTAAACTTGAGTCTAAATGTGTTTTTCAAATATATATTTTTGAATATGTACGTTTAAATATGTTTATACATCTCTCTCTCTCTTTCTCTCTCTCTCTCTCTCTCTCTCTCTCTCTCTCTCTCTCTCTCTCTCTCTCTCTCTCTCTCTCTCTCTCTGTGTGGCTCATACCTGAAATCCTAGGAAGCTGAGGCAGGAAGATTGCCATGAATTCCAGGGCAGCCCTGGGCTACACAGTAAAACTGTTTTAAACAGCCGGGCGTTGGTGGCGCACGCCTTTAATCCCAGCACTCGGGAGGCAGAGCCAGGCGGATATCTCTGAGTTCGAGGCCAGCCTGGGCTACCAAGTGAGCTCCAGGAAAGGCGCAAAGCTACACAGAGAAACCCTGTCTCGAAAAACCAAAAAAAAAAAAAAAACTGTTTTAAACAAACAAACAAAAAGGATTGTTTTCCTTTTCGCTTTTATTTTTGTTGTTGTTTTAGTTTGGTTTTTGAGACAGGATTTCTCTATGTAGCTCTGGATGTCTTAGAACTTGCTCTGTAGACCAGTTGACTCACAGAGATCCGCCTGCCTCTGCCTCCTGAATACTGGGATTAAAGGCGTGTGTCACCACTGCCCAGCTCCTTTTCATTTTTTTTCATTTTTGTGTTTTTAAAGTTTGTACTTCCTTTAAATTAATCCTTCACTTAATTCTATTGTTCTTAAGCATTCAGAACCTTTGTTATTTATCTTCAGTCTTAGAAAACAACATTTCTCCTTGTACTTTCATTTCAGCTGCTGTTCAGGCAGCTGCTGTAGCTCAAGCTTCCATTTCTCTCCAACTCATCAGGGAACTTTTAAAGAGGGCCCTTCTGTTCTGTACTAATCAAAGTTGCATTACTTAAAGGAATAGCTTGTTCGCCATCACCTACAAATTGCATCTCCACTCCAAAAAAAAAAAAAAAAAAAAAAAGATCTTGTATGATGCCTCTCAGTGTCCGGATGTTGACCTTCTCCACCCTGCAGCCCAGCTCGCTCTGCCCCAGCTTTCCTGTTTCCCCCTGACTGATTTCCTTCTACCTGTGGTTGCCGAAATCTTACCCCTTCCCCCATCCCTCCGCTTCTTTCATGTACAAAATCAAAATATAAATTGACTTCCCATTATATCACTGGCATTTATGATAAAGCAGAGGAATGCCGCAAAGGAGATGTAGATGTGTGTATCTATATCATCGATTTGCATATGTAAATCTCCCTCTAGATCTTCCCTAGTTCTGGGAGCTCTGGTGGTTCTTCCTGCGGTGGCACACTCCTTAGCTCCCCTGTGATGATGCACTGCTTTCCCTAAGTCACACCTACCCACACTTCCCAGCCCTCACACCAGGAAGTCGCCGCCACTGACACCGGTGTCTGTCCCTTGGGTGCACAGAGCATGGGAGACAGCCGGGTAAGCACACAGAGAGGACCACGCCAGAGGTGAGCTCTGGTGTGGAGCTGAGTGGGGAGAGGAAGCGAATGGATTCAAATGTAGTCTGATTGATTTATGGGCATGTGGGATAATTCATAGTGTAAACAGTGCTTCTCCGCTCCTTCTCCCCGGGGAGAGTTTAGTTTGAGAAGAGGAAAGCCAAGAATAGAATCCTGGGAAAAATGTTAAAATGTAAGGTTTCGACCAGAGGGCTGAGCAAGAAAGAGCGTTCTTACGTGAAGAAGTGGAATCACCAGGCGGTGATGTCATAGGAACCCCCGGAGTCAGAGGGTTTCAAGATGGAAGTTGCTAGACCTCAGGTGCTGTGGAGAGGGCGAGTCCCGGAGGAACTGAGAAGGTGACTTGGGTCTGTGGACTTGGGGTTCGTGTGGTCACGTGGCCGCGAGTGGTTTCCCGGGTGGATTGGCATGCCTTAGGCTGCACTGTCAACTCAGAGTGAGACCACGGGCTCTTTCCTGAGGCTCGGCTGTCGGGAGCACAGACTGACAGGGGGTGTTTGCGTAACGACCGCATCGTGGTTTGGTTGTTCTTTTTCACTGTGCTTTTGAGCCTGTTTGCGTGAGGAAGGGAAAGAGCTATTAGATGAGGCAAGACTGCCGAGTGAGCCGATGGATGAAGAACCAGGGCACAGCAGAGCGCAGAGCCGAGAGGGAGGCAGGTGTGGGCAGCAAGCATGCGTATTTCAAGCCCAAATGGTACCATTTTCTCAGTGAAACTGAAGACCAGGTTGCGAGGCTCTGAGTGGGAGCCTGGGAAGGCTGAGAATAGCTTCTGTGGAGAGACGGCGTGGAAACCATCAGGGACCTGTAAACTATGTCCACTAAAGACTGGCTTGTAATGTCCATCCAATCTGTGCTTATAGGATAGTCTTTAAATTAATAGGGAGCAAGCAAATAGATTGATCCAGAGCGGTGGTTTATAAGGCCTTGGGGCAGAGGGGTAAAGGTAATGCTGGACGCTTGAAACGTCAGTAGCTTATAGCTTCGCCTCCTCTGCGCTCAGTGATGGAGGATAAAACAGCGGAAAGGCAGAAATAGCCTTGCTATTATCTAAGCAGCCTCCGATAAACACGAGGAACCTTGGGGCTTCCAAGCCTGAATTGTTGCTTGTTATCCAATCCTCCAAGTGAGGGTGGGCTAGGTAAGACAGAAAGAACCTTGCTAGTCTTACCGGTGGGACTAGCCATTTGCCTTCCTCTGGGAGCGAACAAGTGTGTGTGTGTGTGTGTGTGTGTAGAGTTAATCTGGAGGGTCCCAAACAAGTGTGTGTGTGTGTGTGTGTGTGTGTGTGTGTGTGTGCGTACAGTTAATCTGAAGGAGGGTCCCAAAGTTTACAGTGTAAGGGTTAGAATAATTTCAGGTTGGGGGGAGGGGCTTAGGGCAGATACAGGCAAAGGACCTGGAAAAGCCTGAGATTATGCAGGTCACCCATGCAACTGTCCCTTGCCCCCCAGTTGCATTTGTTTACCCCTGGTGTAAAGAGGACTTGCCTTAGGTGAGTCTGTATTTTTATCATGACTCCCGGAGGACAGGGACTGGGTCTCTCTTTGCACTTCATAGCACCTTACTCCTAAGATCAAAGTGTCTGTCAGCATGAGGGGACGTGGTCTTTCTGAAGTTTGTTAGACTAGAGATGTAGAGGCTGAAAAGGTAGGCTGCTTCGCGTTGTACTGCAATAGAAAGTTCTACTACTTGGTAGAACTTTCCACAGCATAAAATGGAGCAAAAGGCATGTTTTCAAGTGGTAATTGGCAATCCTCCTGTTTAAATATTTAAATATCCTGCCTCCCTAGATCGTCTTGATGGCTACTGACACCGCTCTTTTAGCGGGTTGGTGTCAGAGGTTAATGGTGCCGTGTGATGGGATTGCGGTTGGAGACCAGGAGTGGCCAAAGTTTGGTCTTCCTGAAGTCCCTAAGGGTAATATATTGACAAGAAATGGTGGTGCATGGACAATCTATAAATAGTTGATGGGAAATGGAAAACGTACGCTTTGCTTGAAAATGAATGCTCAAATGAATGCTCTGCTAAGATGGTTTCTATAGTGAGTGTCCTACAGTGCGGGGTAGCTGCTGGCCTATGCCCGAAGCAGCTCAAGATCACCTCTGCATTCAGTGTCTGAGTCCCACTGAGGCACATGGGCCCCAAGACCGTGGAGCCACGGGATTGTGGGCGTGGCTTAAGACCTGAGTACACTGGGCATAACATAGTGTCCCGTTCCAAGTCTTCCTTTCAATATCCGTGTAACTATCTGATGAGTAAATTAGGTTGGTGTTCATTAAGTTATTTCTAGTGTAAATTTTGCCACGATGGGCAGAGCTTACGAGTTTAGGTTCTGAAGTCAAACATCCTGGCTCAGCCCTGTTATGTGGCCTTGGCCATATGAGTTAATCCCTTGAAAGAGACCTGCAGTGGTGGAGGTCCTGCTCCCTAGGGCTCTCAGTATCGAATGAATGTGGTAACGTATTAAATACCTGGGGCAGGGAGGAAGGAGCACGTGCAGTTTAGTAGGTGCTAGTGGCTGTTATCCTGAATGTAGTGCCCATCTTTCCCCCTCACGATTGGCAGTAAGTATATGGCCAATTTCTGAAAGTGTGGGAACTTTGAAGGTGATGTAGATGACTTCCACCTTGAGGAAACATTCCATCCTACCTTTCTTTGAGAAGTATCTGGAAGATGAATCACCATTTTAAAGAAGCTGTATTGGTATTTAGATCTTCCTCTGAGATAACTGGCCAGGCTTTGTGTCACAGACCTAGATAATCCCAGTTGAAGGCTGAGGCAGAAGACTCAAGCCTGGCTGCAGGACAGTTCAAGGCTGATTAAACTGGGCAGCTTAGTAGGACCTTGTCTCCCAGTATAATGTAAAATAAAAGTGGCGGGAGGCTGTCTGTCTGTGAGAGAACTCTTATCGGGGATGTAGGGGGGCCTAGGACCAGTCCCCAGCATTGGGAGCTAGTGGTAATAGATGGCAGACAGCAAGCAGCATGGAATTTTTGTGTGTGCTTATTTGTTGTGCTTAGAGGGCATGCAAAGATTTCATGGTTAATTTAGCCATCCTTAGCATCTTTTAGTACTCATTGAGCTGTGTGTGGAGCTCCTCTGTTGGTGCATGTGCACAGGGTTCCTTGCTGGGTCAGATGCAGGCACCCTGTGAACGGAAGCTCCTATGTCTAGATCTGAGTGTTGGAGTGGAGAGCTTTTATTGCCCAGGGTTACTTGCTCAAGCAGGTATGCTGGAAGCTGCTTCTTCCTACTTCCTCTTGCTTTAGAATCACCTGGGAGACATACCTTTCTTGGTCTGAGGGCATTAACAGAGAGAGGTTTACCCAGGAGGGGAAGACGCACTGTATATGTGGGTGGTGTCATCCCCTAGGCTGGGAGCCTAGA